CCCCAAACCTTCAATTTTTCACTCACACCTCTAGCTTCATTAATTTAAAATTCCCCCAAAATTATAAAAGAAAACTAGGGTTATTACACTCAAGTCTCCTTTTCATAGCCTTAAGAGTCCAAGAAGGTTTAGGATTCCTTGGAGGGATTGAAAACCCTAAAAATCTAGGAAGAAAACAAAAAAAACCTCACCGCGATGCACCATAGCAGGCTTTAGTGAGTAGCATGCTACAGTGTGCTACTATAGTAACTGCCACAGTTTTTCTTTTTTTTCTTTTTGCAAAACCCATTCATTCTCAAACTCTTAAATAATCACTTACCAATCTCAAACCCCTTAAAGATTCTCTTAGATCATATATCCCCTTGTTATTGAGAACCAACTCCTAATGGTTCTTAACTCTAACGGTGCAGGTAATGGATTGGTTTAAAGCTCGTGGTAAGTTATCCTACTTAGGCTTGGGCTTTCTTGGAGCCTAATATTGGGTTTTGTAGGCTTGCATCTTCACCAGGTTTTAGATTTTCTTCTTTGTTTCTTTTGACCCATGCACTAGTTTTGACCCCATGTATTGTAGACTTGGACTGGTGTTTAGCTCATCTCTACCACGAATAGAATCTTGTGGCCGTATCATTGTTGTAAAGCATTGTCGTTATGGGTTCGTTGTGACCATCTCTTCGGCTCATTTTAAAGCATCCCTAGATATGATAAATGTCTTTCTAGTCTTCTTGAGGTGACACTTCTATTCTCAGTAATGGTAGATGGCGTTCTGTCTCATAAGTAAGTGTTGCCAAGGATGATGTGGTATATGGCGACCAGTACCACCTCGTATACCATCTTATCAATGAATTGCTTGGTGATAACAAAGTTAATCTTGCACTGCCATTCAACCTTTTTGTCCGCATCATTATGGATCCACACTAAGGTATAAAGGTGAGGGTGCTACATTGTTTCCAAACCCAACTTATTCACAAAACTTTTGAAAGATTATATTTCTCTCACATCCTATATCGAAGATGGCACTGATGACTTCATTCTTCACCTGCACTCAAACTGTGAGAGGTGGCAATGATCTTTAGTTTATCCTATTCAGTCGGACCATCAAAGACAAACTCGAGTCCAAGTCAACCAAGTGCCCTACCTCTCTGGCATCTTTGGCTATGATAGTGGCAGTGGTCTACTTTTCGTGGTCATTCCTCCTTGAAGCCCACCCTAGATGAAGCTTTCAACAACTTTGTTCATCTTGCCCAGGTTTCTAGCAATGATCACCGTATTTAATAGATTTAAAAATGTTAGAAACTGAAGTACCTTTCTTACTTTTAAATTCAAGTTTCTCCTAATTGTGAACCCAATTCTTCTACTCAATAGCCATGGTGGTTGTGCTGAGTCTAGTTAGATTATGGATCGGGAACAGACTAAGTTATTTTTGTATTCTCTCTTATAGTCCAAAAGTATATTTTGAACAAGTGGTTGGATCCCAAAATTACACCCCAAGTGTCATTGTTGCTTTCAGAACTCGATGCTATACCCTTGTACGATCAAATCCTTCTTTTGATAGAGTCTATGCCATTGATTCCAACGCTTCTCTACATAGCCCATAGGATAGAATTTTCGGTGGATGAGTCACTTAAACTACTTCCAAGTTATATCCTCGATCTCCTTGCTAGCAACCATCGCCCTCCACCAAGTTTTGGCATGTCGGTCATCTTAAAAGGTGTGTAAGCTACTTTCTAAGCATTAAAAAATTTCTGCAATGTAAAACATATTTCTAATTGATCAAGCCAAGAATCTAACCTTTTAGAATCAATAGAACTGTTATACACCAATATCTCCACCTTGACCTCTACTCTAAACAACTCCCTGTCTAGATTTCAAGCCTCTGTGTCATTGCTATCCTTCTCATCACTATCATGTTCGGTAATGTCAGGCCAAATCAATGTGTAAGCACTTCTACCCTTTTTGCGGTTGAAGTGATAGTAGTCACCCCTTACTTCTAGGATACATTAATTTGACTTTGTATCCATGACATAATGAAAGCCATGTCATTGAATAACTTTTCAAACTTTTTTCAAGACTAGGGTTTATTGGGGCTGAACCCTCATGCTAGATGTTGGTAGCCATTTGATTGACAGATTTTTGAACTAATCGGTGATGAGATTGTAACATTGACAAAAGTTCTCCAATAACTTTATGGTTTACTCCATTCATAGGGAAGAAACGATGCTTTGATACCAAAATGTAATTTATAATTTTCTTGAAATGCTAAACAATGTCCAAAAACAGATCACAATAGAATTAACAATGGATCCAAAACCTAAGATAAAAAAATATTGAGGAAAAACTTATTCTAATTAACCAATATAAGCAAGAATATGCTTTATAATTAATTTTAGAAAAACCCACAATGCAACTCCAACAAGATTTCAAGAAAAACAATCCTGTAACCTTCACGCCTCAATCCCAGACTGTTGGAATTCCTGACTCTCAACCCTCAGATGGCTGGACGAATTAAATAATGCTTGAATCTTGTCAAAAGTGGAGATCTCCAGTTGGACAGATGATCACCAAGTACTTTTACAAAACTTTGATTGAATCTTGGATGATTTAGATGAATTTTAGATATCCTATAATGTCACCCAAGTCTCTCTTTTATAACCTTAAGAGTCCAAGAGGGCTCGAGAGTCCTTGAAAGGGTTAAAAACCCTAAAACTCCTAGAAAAATGCAAATTGTTCTCGTTGCAACACACCGTAACAAGCTCTGGTATGCTGTAACATACTAATTCTAGTGAGCAACGCACTATGGCGAGTTCCGACGCTATAGCATGCTACTATAGTAACTATTACAATAACTTTTTTTTTTTTTTTTAACAAAACTCATTCATTCTCAAACTCTCAAATGGGCACTCACCAACCCCAAACCTCTCAAAGGTCCTCTCAGATCATATGACTAACACCAACAAGGCCAAGAGAAAAGTAGAACTCTAATTCACAATTTTAAATAAATTGTGGTTAGGTAGTCTTTCACTTTCAAACATAAAATTTTGAAATAGTAGAAAGGTAAAGAGTAAAAATTATATACATGTTAAGCCCAAAAATTAAACTTCTTTTTAATTGAGGTCATTAATTAAATTAGTATCAAATATTAATATTGATGTTGATTCAAGAGATGCTATGATTACTTATTCAATAATAAATAAACTCTGATTTGGTAGCCTTTCACTTTCAAACTTAAAATTTTTAAATGGGCCCAATGTAAAGAGTATAAATTATATACATGTTAGGCTTAAAAACTAAACTTCTTTTTACTTAAGGTCATTAGTTAGACCATCAAATTAGCTTCTTCTTCGTTTCTAAATAAACTGCACATATTAAGAATAACTGAGGGAAGAATTTTTATTATTCAATTGCAACAAAAATTGCTAATCATTCAACATACAAAAATGACAAAACAACTTCTCTTCTGCCTGCACTTTATAAATTGTAATCTTCCCTGAAAGTATTTTCATCCTAGGCAAGAGCAAGGTATTCATCCTTTTCCAAATAACTCCCATTCTGAAACAAATTAACCCCACCTCTATTATTGGCCTCCTGGGCCCCGGCGGTTGGCAAAGCCACGTACAAGTCAGTGTGGTGGATTCTGCTGGAGCACTAGAATAAACCTCTCCATTACGTATATGTACGTGAAAGGAATTTAGATATTGTTCAAAATGATTCCACCCACGGGCTTTTTCATTTTTAAGTTATTATATATATTTTTATCTATTTTACAATTTAAAATCAGTCCTATTCAAAGTATTGTGATCATTTTTTTTTCTGAAAATACGCTTTTATAATTTTGAATCAGACTCCTCTTTATGAATTTAAGAGTGTTTTATCAATTATGTCACATCTATTGAATCCATCCATCCACACACTTTAATAATTTTAGAATATTTCAAATTACCTTTTTTATTAATTCAGCATATAATATCTTAACTATAACTGTACTTAAATATTTATTCATTTGTCTTATTAACAAAATTTTCTGAGCATAGGGTGGTCCAAGTCTCTTCTATATATAGATCTATTGTCTGCTCTTTTAATATATAGGTGAAATAGTAGGCTGCAACTTCTTGTTTCAAACTTTAGAGAAGCATTAGCAATGGCTCTTTCTGGTAAAATAGAGGACCAACTAGAGTTGAAATCTGAAGTTGATGAAATCTTGCACGCTTTCGGAGGTAAGAAAGCACACCACATTCCTAACATCAGCTCTGATAAAGTACAGATGATTCGGGTGCATGAAGGAGAATGGGGAAGTCTTGGTTCCGTCAAGGAGTGGACTTATGTTATAGGTAACACTCCAACCAACTTATCTCTAACTTTACTTATATTTCATTTCACGTCGCAAATTATACATGTGGTTCTTGCCCTTGTCATATTTCTATTTTGGACTCCACAGTTTAAAATGTAACACCTGTTCACAATATTAATTTCAGAATCATAGTAGATGAGGATGATAGTTTATATCTTTTACATTTTTAGATGGCAAAACTCAACTTTTGACAGAGGAATTCTTGGTTTTTGTGTTCTTGATAGGACATGAGAGTCTCTATAATCAGTAAAAATGATTTTTTGCCATTTCTTAAATCTGATGAGACTAAAATATCAAAAGAAATTGATTTTTTAATGCAAAAAATGAGCTTTTCTATCTAAAAGGATGATCATATTGGCTAAGTAATTTCCCTAGCCCATAAAACTTATTCCTTTTATAAGGGTAGAATAAAAGCTATCAATATATATAGTCTTAATCCTGTTTTGTGGAGAGGCTATATTTTAACACTTTTGATCTTATGATCTTTCAGTAATAAAAAGAATAACCTTAATATTTATTTAAGAATTGATCTTAATTAATAAAGTTAACTATATTCCTTATTTAATACAATTTTTAACTTTTGAGACTAGATGGGTCAATAATTGAAATTATAATTATAAGCGTAAAATAAATTAGGATAAAATTACATAGACTAATGACAAGTTACAATATAAGTCAGTATTGCTTGCTGTACTTGATCCTTATTTTATTTATTTATTTTTTTGGGGGGTTGATGGAAAACAGAGGGAAAGGTGGAAACTTTCAAGGAGAAGTTCTACATAGACGAGGAGAAAAAAGAGGTGCACCTGACAGCATTGGAGGGATCAACTGTATTAGAGCTATACAAGTCTTACAAAATCATCTACCAGCTATTTGACAAGGAGGGCACCACTATTGTGATAATTATTATTGTGTACGAGAAGCGAAACAAGGATGTCCCTCCTCCACATAAATACATGAATTTCGGAAAAAGTCTGATTAAAGACATTGATGCTAGCCTTGTCAGCGCATGACAGATGGAATGGTATTAATTAATCAATAATTATGGAGAGCATGATATGCACTTGTCTATCTATAATAAAAAGTCTAGGAACACTGCATCCGAGACTTTGAAACTAGTTATGAACTTGTTCTGTATGTTACGAAATGAAATATGAAAGTTGCTTCAAACCTTTGATTTGAAAAATCGTTTATATTCTAATACCAGTTATAATCATTCAAGGTTATTAACTTAAATAATTTGATAAGACTGAATTATTTATTTAAATGACTTAAACTCAAATTAAGTCTTATATACCAAATATTATTATACTTAAAAATTAATATAAAACAAAATATCATAATTCATCTAATCAACTAACGCATATCTCTCACAATAGGTGCAGGGAGTAATAGAGAGCATGCAAAATAAATTTGACTTTCCAGTTTTATTTTGGACAAACTTCTACCCTTTTATCGTGATAAAGTATTAATTTTCACACTAACATGAATCATCTTGAATAAATTGAAAGAAATAAATTTAAACAAAGTGGTTTGATTATCTATTTAATGAGAGTCTAATTAAATTTATTTATATTTAAATTTGGTTAAAATGTTAAATAAACAAATCTTATATTCTATTGCAAGAATTTTCAATTAATAGTACAATTATTCTGTTATGTAAAATATTTTTAAGTTACTATTTTTCTATAAATTTAAGTGAAAAGAATCATTTCTTAAAAAGTAAAAATAAAATTATAAGGTTTAATATTAGGGTACAATCTATAAATTATCTGAATATCTACATACTACACCCTAGTAAAATTGGAGGAAAAATTACTAAATTTCAATTATACCCTTCACAAGTAAATGCAAAATCATGCTCTAATGTCTCATTCTGACATAGGGTGCAAAATTGTTAAAGTTTGAGTGTAAAATGCTAAGTTTATATTTTTGAAGTGCAAAATGTCAAAAAAAAATTTAATATTAGAGTGTAATAAGCAAATTGGTCTTTAATGATATATAAAGGATTTTGCAGATCTCATATGGGTTTTACTTGCACATTAAAACCAAATACAATTAACTGATCTGTAATATTTTTTAGCAATTATAGCTACCAATTGATTGTTGCAGTAATCTCCTATTGCCTATAAGTAACTGGCATGCAACCCAATGTGGCTTTGGTCTCTCTCTCTCTCTCTCTCTCTCTCTCTCTCTCTCTCTCTCTCTCTCTCTCAATTCATTTGGAGTATAATAATTTGATTGATCACTCTGTCATTGTTAAATCCAAATTACTGATTCAAAATAGTTATAATCACATTATTCATTGTCAATATATTTTAATAATATATCTCTTATAACCAGATATTTATGTTTGATATATGTTTAAATTTCTTTAATGTTCGATGTATGTCTCTCGTGTAATCTAACAAGAGACATCATAGCAGTCACAAATGAGTTGACTGATCAAGAATCTCATTAACTTGAATTTATTCCAAGTTATGCTATGTGTACTATATCTAATGTGGAATGGTTAAGAGTGGTCTAACTTGGTTAGATTTTGATTCATAGATTCATGCATGTCTTGCACATATATAAATTTGAACACTTAGAATTCGACTATTAGCATTTTGATATAGGGAAGGAGTAGATGTGGAAGCCATAGAGGACTAGAGGTTTATTTTAATGAAGAGCTGCCAATGGATTAATTGTTGTGGTTTTCTCTAGATTTTCCTTGTTATTTTCCATTTTCTTTCCTCTGTTTGACAACCAGAATATATTAAAATTTTCAGGTCTATTGCTAGCATTTTTGTTGTCATTAAATTTTTTATTTCTAAAAATAGAATTGATTTGGAAAATTAGTTTTTGGAATAATGGCGGGTTGCAGTTTTAATTTACTTGATTTGAAAATAACAAGTATTTTTTTCAGAAACTTTGAAAACTTTTTTTTTTTTTGAATGAGAACACACTCAATGGTAGTCGGTGATAAAACTGAAGTAGCATATGTAAGATGTCAAACAAACAAACAGGGTTTCCTTATCAATTGTGAGCTACATAATGAGAAACTCACAAAACTCTCATTACTTATACGGTGCATATATCTTCATTATTGTAGTTAAAACAACAGGACAAATTATTTGATGGAACTCAATTGTCTTTATTATTCATTTTTCATTAATAAATAGAACTTCTCTAAGGTATTATGCTTTGACTAGATGTCCATCTATATCCTTAACAATATTAATTAAATAAGACCATGTATTTTTGAAGAGGAGGGGTATTCTCGTTATTTAGTTTGATAATTTAAGTATAATCTGAAATTGACTTAACTTGGATTCTTGTAGCTAATTAATTTGAATAATACCTTCCACAAACACTTACTTCCGTTAAAAAAAAAAATAAATTACTATGAATCAATTCTTCAATTCACAAACTAAATATCTTTGCAATGTATTTGAAAGACAAATACTCTTTGAGAGAGAATTCCTGCAAGCCTTTTAACATAATATCACTACGATATATGTAAGGGTTTACAATGTTGGTTACAGAAAGTATAAAACACTTACACTAAATCTTATACTATTAATTTAATCAAAATTGATGAAACTAATTACAACTATCCTTCACTATATTAATTTATAGTTATCTTTTTTTTTTCAAACTATTAATTAAACTCATCATTGATTTTAATCAAATCGCCGATATAAGATTTGATATAAGTATTTTTACACTTATACTAATATCAACTGATCTATTTTTTCTCTAATTCTCTCTCCTCTCTCTCTCTATACACACACACACAAACACACATACATGTGTGGGAGTGCATGCACGCGCATATACATATATATATATGTGTGTGTGTGTGTGTGTGTGTTTTGTATTTATATATAATATAAATATGTAAATGTATATATTTATATTTATATGAGTAGATAAAATTTGTATATGTGTGTGTGTGTGCGCGCGCGCGCGCGCGTGTGTGTGTGTGTGTTTTATTTTATAGAGAATATATATTTTTAAAATTTTAGTTTTTGGTTTAAAATAATTTGGTTTGGTTTTTAGACCAAACAAAACCATAATTTTAGCTTATTTTTTAAAACTAAAATAAATCAAAGTAAATTTAAAAAAATAAAACTAAATTTTTAAATTTGATTTGGTTTAATTTAGTTTAATTTTTCACACCCTACTCTTCCCGTAAGAAGAGGCAAAGCTTAGGATAACCAAAGCATTATAAATTAAAGGCACACTCCTTCGTTTCCTTTCAATTCTTTGGAAGATATGATACAACCAGATTTATTTACAAGAAACCAACTATTTTCATTGATTTAAATTTTAAATACGTATTCTTTTTTTTATAACAAATTGGCTTATTCTGTTACAAAAATATTACATAATAAAATTTAGTTATTCTTCTTAATATAAAAATAAATTCACATGTAACGAATCTCTTTCCATTTATATATCTTTTACACCAAAACAAATGAAATCACTTCTTTCAAACTTTCCTTCTTAGTTAACCATCCGCTACGGAAGGAAATAAAATTCCTTCCCAAGGAGTCCTCGTATCCAAACATATCCTAAGGTTCGTGGAGCTTGCTAGTGTTTTGAATCCCCACAATTGAGTGCAGGAGATAGAAATGGACCACAAAAGTGAAAGTAAATAAGCATCTATGCATCTAAAAGTCCTACTTCCTTGCAAGTAGCCACACTGGTCCTTTATTCTGTTATCCTTTCTTGTGTTGCGTGAACCACATTTGGACACCCCTAAACTTTCTATAAGAGGGCCAAAGGCAGATCGTTAGGTCTCACTGGTGGCTGTGGATAACAGCGGAGAGAAATATGGCTCAGATCAACAAGGCCAAAAGTAGAACTCCAGTGCACGGCGGATAAGTTTTTGGGATTTTTACTACCAAAGCAAACCTTATCCGTAAGATCTGTCCAGAATTTACAAAGAGTATTCAAACCGTTGAGGGTGTTTGTGGAGCTCTGGGTTCTATCAGGGTCTGGCATTATGTGGCAGGTATTACATCTGGTAAAGGATGTAAATGGATTCGCGTTATGCAAGTACCCGATCCATTTACCTTATCTAGATTCAGATTCAGTCATTGTTATTCAGTTTTAGGTTGGTTTCAAATTAATCTTGATAAATTTCTTTGGGTTCAGGTCCAAATACGATTCTTTTATATATAATTGTACCCGAATATTGAAACCATTATTTATATACTTGTATACTCAAAGACAAAACCCATATTGTATACCAAAATTTACATTCATATACATACATACATACATACATATATATATATATATATATTGTGTGTGCATGCTTGTGCGCATGCGTGGACAACATCATAAGATATTCTTTTGTATGAATATTATAATACATGTAATATTGGAAGTTTAAAGATTTTTTTTAAGATCATAACAATACTTCACAAAAAAAAAATTGATTTTAACAATTAATTTATATGAAAATATGCAATTATTGGATTGGAAAATAATATCTAATAAAATCAAATTATAATGACGAAAGTAATTATTCAAATTAAAATTTATGGTAAATAATTTAAAACTAGTCACATAATTTTTCTAATCAATAGTTACTTATATTATTCTCAGAATAAAGTTAATAGAATATAAAGAAATTAAAGTTCATTACATTTTGATATTACTTAATTTCATTAAATTAGCTGAACAATAATAATTTAATTAACTTATTATAAAAATAATTCAGGTAAAAGGGGTGAATATTTGGATCATATTTTTGAGGAATATTGCAGGTTTTGTTGAATATTCGGGTTGGTAAATATAATATGGGTATTTGGATATCTTATATATATATATATGTATGTATGTATGTATGTATGTATGTGTAGATACATTTGGGCAAATGCAATTTAAATAGATATAAATATAAATGAATAAGTTTTTATCTTTTTGAATATGGATATACATATAGATATGAATATTAAATTTTTATTTGAATATAGGTATGATTATCCTAATATCTTATTCAAACTCGACCCATTTA